CTGAATTGGAAAAACTAACTGCAGAGCACATTGAAGCAGAAGGAAACCTTGCTGATGTGAAGGTCAAAGTCCATGATTGGTTCATACTTGGGGAAAAATGGATGGCTGATTAATCTAATGTTATAAACTTCTTTTGTTATGGTTTAAGAACCCCCATCATGTTTTATTTTTATTTTTTATTTTAAATAGAATCAGTACTTTTTTGCAGTGTTTCTCTCTCATATTGTGTTTCAGTCAAAACAAAAAAAAAGTTAAGAATTTAGAGGATTACTGGTCTTGTATTTGGGTAATCTCGTTTTCATATTCGTTTCTGGAAAGCCATCCTCAATGTGACAAATGATATCCTATTATGGATACTCATCTAGAAAATCCAAAGTTCTTTCCAATGTTTTTAATAAAAAATTATGGTTAACTACATTTATGCTTTACCTTTCACCAGATGATTCTCCTTAGCCTAGTAGCTAAACCATCTATCTTGTGAAACTGAATTACTTGCTTCGACCCACGTTCGATTTCAAGGGAGTTCGGACTCGTACTTTATTTTTTAACTGAATAAAACTAAAATGAATTATATTGCTTCAGTTACATCACTGAACAATATAAATCCATTTGGTCTAGTGGTCACACCTTATTTCCTCTTTCCCAGACATCCGAGGTTCGAATCTTGTTAGTTGTGTATATTTGTTCTTTTATTTTCTTCAAAATCCAAATCACAATTTGAAATTTTCCAAGTATGCAGATATCAATCCTTTTTTTTTTATCTCATTTCTTTTTTTTTTTAGGTTAAGAAAGAAAAACACTAATATTCAACTATTTTAGAAACTCTCCAGAAAATCTAAAGTTATTTCCAACGTTTAGAATACTCATTTTTATGTCTGGTAACCCATCCTGAAAGTCCACATGTTATCCTAGACATCCTAAATTTTTTTCAATAATAATCTAAATGATAAAAATGTTGTAATGACCATTTATTAGAAACTTCTACTTGTCCAAGTAACATCAAAGTTCAAAAACAAATTATAAAACAGAACGAGTGTGACATTTTCACTTCATGTTACCTTCCTAGAAATTTTTATCCATAAACTGGTCGAAGATCTCACAACATAGCTTTCTTCGTAAGTCCATCGAAGTATCATCATTTATATTGGTCATCCTCTTCAATCCCAGTGACCTGCATTCCAGCATATTGGCAACAAAGATACCACAGCTGAATGGAAATTCTGTCTTTGGAACCCCTTATGCATTCTTAACTTGAAATAGATCGATATGTTTGAAATTATCTATTCACCGAGAAATTCCATCTTTATGGCACAAATCAACACTGTCACAAATACCCAAAATTACACAACTGATTTTTCTACAGTAAATGATAAAATTAATCAATCATAAAGAGTTTTTACCTGCCAGTTCTTGGATTTTAATAATGCCATCTTTAATATTTGCTTTTGGAAGGCCACAATGGTAGAGTGTGGTTGTGTTTTCCATCAAGTGTATCTCCACCCCAATAAAGTGAGAGCTATTTCTATCATGAACGACACCATATATAAAGTCAACATCTTCCAGCCATATCTTCTTGGGATGTATTAATCTTCTCACAACTTTTCCTACCCAACCCTCTAATAACTTTACTTTTCCCTTACCTGGCTTCTTTAGAGAATCATAACTGTACCCAACCATTTCTAAGAATCATAACTTCCATGCAAAAATCAGGACGGCATTCAAGAAAATGTACAAGAGATTCCAATCAATATTTCAAAACTCAACAATATTTTATTGAGCACGTACCTCTCGTGTCACATTAGAAGAGAAATTTTGAGTCCCAGGCTGTTGAGACATTGGAGATACAGGTGTCCCACTCGATGGCTGCGTGTCATTCATCAAAAATAAAGAAGGCATTCAAGCTTCTGTACAAGAGTTTCCAAATATTACTTGAAAAGTCCGAATATAAAACAAGATTTTTGAGAATTTACATGCTATGTCACATTAGTGGGAAAAACTCTAGTCTGAGTGTGTGGAGCAACATTCAGTTTTCCTTCCAACTCTGACACACGGGCTTTAAGCTCCGTGTTCTCTTCTTCCAGTAGAACATTTGATCCTTCATGCTCTTGATATTCTCCTCCATTACCTCGATGATCATGTTCAGTTTGCTATTTACTGAATCCTCCTCAATCGAAGCAGGTGATTGGCCAGTCTCCTCATTTCCCAGCATTTGAATAAGAGCATCCAATGTGTCAAATTTGTCTACAGACCTATTTTTCCAGTCGTCGGCTTTAAATTTATACCCTTTCTTGGATATATCTTTCAAGGACTCCAGCTCGTCATTATGTTTATCTTCCATGGAGACATCATCCTCTGAATCATGAGGAATAGAAGGTATGATGCATTTAATTTTCAACTAAAAAAAAATTAAAAAGAAAAACTAATGAGAATAAGTTTTTCAAAAGAAGAAGCAAAACATATACAAAACCAAATCATTGTAAAAGCTTACCTTTGTTTTACCTTCAATCTGCAAAACCTGTTCACGTGATGGATGGTCTACAACAGTGTAGTACTGGACACAAGTAAACCAGTCTAGGAATCTCAAGAGGCTGTACACACTTATAAACCTATTCCATAGAAAAGGGATAGACTCTAGTATCCAAAGATGGAATACTAGAGGATATCCCTACAACTCAAACTTTGAAGTCTCCTTCAAGTGATTGTAGACATCGTTTTTAATTGACTTCAGGAGCACGATGTAAGCCTCTCTTCCCCATGGTTATGTTATATCCTGCGCTTTTTTCACATACTCCAAAGGGAAATTCCCCGTGTTGCTCTTCCTCAGCAATATGCTCTCAACGAGGAGGAGCATTGCCAAGCATACTCTCTCATCAGAAGCATATTTTCTTGTGTTTAGAGCTGGTTCACCACATCCCTTTAGTTATGAATACGCTCCTTAGCAAGTCCCACTTAAATCTCTCGGTTTCCCTTCGTGGTCCTTCTACTTCACCACTACATTTCAAACCGGTCACCATGTGGAATTCTCTTATAGAGGACCTCATTGGCTGGGCACTGAAATGGAACCATGGCTTCATTTTCTTTGACAGTAATGATGCTTCTTGCGAGAATAGCGTAGACAATCTTTGCTTATAATTTCATTCCACTCTCACTGAGCCTTAGTAGATGTCCCATAAACGAACCTCGGATTCTTCTCAACTCATTTTTCTGTTAGAATACTCTCAACAATCGAGATATACGCTGAGTTTGAATGTTGGTTTATAATCGATTTTTCCTTTGGCTCTGAACCAATAGATAATTCAGCACAGGCAGTGCTAGTTTGACAGGTACTGAATCTCCCATCTTGTTTCTATCCCGCGTAAACAAGGAGAAAAGAAATTCAAATTATTCTGGAAGGCTTTTCCTGAAACTACACAAATGCTTCCTGAATTTTTTATAAACACTAGATAGTTTCACAAGCACGAGCAACAAGACACTAATAATCAAATTTAAGATCCTATCAAAGATATCAACATACCTAAGCAGAACAAGACACCAGGCAAAAAAAGTTTCAAAATTTGTTACCATCCGAGTTTCCGGAAGAAGGCTTTCCTGAAACTACACAAATGCTTCTAAAAACTTTATAAAATCTAGATAGTTTCACAAGCAAAAGCAACAAGAGACTCATAAGCAAATTAAAGAGCCTATCAAAGATATCAACATGCCTAAGAAGAACAAGCCACCAAGCAAAAAAGTTTCAAAAATTGTTACCATCCGAGTTTCTGGAAGGCTTTCCTGAAACTACACAAAAGCTTTCTGAAAACTTTATAAAATTTAGAAAGTTTCACAAGAAACAAGAGACTAACAATGTCATAAGCAACATTTCTTAAACACATTCAATAGATGCAAACAAACAACAAATGAACATGAAATGGGCTTCGTGTCTCTTCACTATCTTGATGCTTTTGGAAACTATACAAATCCTTTCTAAAGTAAGAGAAATTAACACACACATAGTTCCACAGACACGAGAAACCAAGAAATCGACTCAATTTGACTTCACAGCCAACTCATGTGTTTACAATCATATGCATTATCAATTCAATTCTATCGATACCTCTAACCTAAATTCAAAAGCAACACGAACTAAAAACACACTCAAGGAACACTTTGATTTCATCAAATTAGGTTAAAACGAGTAAACATATACTCAAGCAAGAAGCAGTAGAAAATCACTCACAAAGAAAACACACAAAAGCTTGAATCTGCAACACACCTCAAAGATATAGAGCTCTGGAGATGGTTTCCGTTAAAAGAAGAGAGAGTGCTCGCGTCGGAAATTTTCGTTAGAGATCGAGAGAGAGCTTGAGAGAGATGGAGATCGAGAGATATGGAGATTAGAGAGCGTGGTGGTTCTGTGAATCGGGAGAAGAAAGCTCAAGCAGAGATCAATTGTAGCAAATCTTATCAGAGAAAAATCTTAGCATAAAACTACAGATCCATAAACTCACAAAAAGGTAAATCTTTTGAGAAAGCACGTACCTTGGATAGAAATCGAGAGGTGGAGACGCTGAGAGAAATCGATAAACGGAGACGTCGATAGAGATTCGAGAGGCGGGACAAGAAAGATGCCAGAGGCGCAGACAAGAGAGAGTCCAGAGAAGGAAACAAGAGAGATTTGAGAGGTGGAGATTCGTCTTTGCCGGAGAGATTACGTCTTCGCCGGAGAGATTACGAGAGATTTTAGGAAACAGTGTGAGAGATATCGAAAAGGAAGGTCGAAAGTCTATTTTTTTTTTAGTAAGCTATATTATTATTTTGTGAGTGTATTAGAAACATTTCACTTACTAGTAAATATCATTTCTGTGATTTTTTTTTTTTAATGTTATTTTAGAGATAAAAACTTCAAAAAGTCTATTATGGAGTATTGCTCTTTTGAAAGAATAACTAGGGAAACATGATTGAAAATAAACTATAAACAAAGAAAAATAATCAACTATAGTTGCCTAACAAGTAGCTAATCTCGGACAAACATGATGTAATAAGAAAGAGTGAAGTCTTTTCCCTTTTGCCACTCTTTATCCGTCATCCGTCAGTATGCGGCGACTATCGCCTTTTCAGATGTCCAGAGCCGGACTTGGAATCGCCGCAATATCATACGTGGTGGTCGATTATTTGAGATACGTGTCACCGTCGTGGCATTCTCGTCTTCAGCCAGTTCTCTGGTCGGTCCTGATTCTTGCCGTAATTACACGTGTCCCTTTCTACAAGCACTGGTCTAAAGAGCTACGAGCAGCGATCCCTTTCCTCGCTTCTATATTCTTCATGCTTGGAGCTCTTCTTTTCGAGGCTCTTTGTGTTCGCTCTGTCACCGCCGTTCTGGGCTTAGAATGGCACCGGTAAAACTAGATCTGCTTGGAATTACCTCGAAAATTGATTGTTTGAGTGTGACTTTGGCTTTGCAGCTTGGACCTCGTTGGTCTTCCTGGATCTGATTTGAATAAAACATGGTTTGACTTTAATATGAACATAGCTAATACACATCCCTGCTTTACAGTATTTGCTGTATGTTTATTGTGCACATCTCTAATTACAGTATCATTATGAGCAATACTTAGTGGAATGGTTAAGTTTTTAGTCATTTATTCAGTTTATGGAAGAATTAACTGTAGCTTATCGTTATTAATCACTTTCTCGGATGATTAATGCGTTATTTCTGTAACGATATTAGCATTATGAAAAATGTATAGTAGAAATATTTAAGTTTATTTTCATTTATTCAATTAATGGAACAGTCAGGTGAAAATTGAATATAGCTTTATCGAAATTAAAGTAATCTCTGGAGTCTATGACTTTCTTTAACTTTATCATCAATTTGAGTCTTTTATAATTTACTATTCGTATATTTCATTGAAACGTTCGTATAGCTTTATCAACATTACCGTAATCTTTTATGAATATATTTTTGTAACTATATATTATGAGTATGACAAATAATATTAGGAATGATAATTTTTTTAAATCTTTGACAGGGATACGTCTCCACTTCCTGACACAGGCCAATGGTTCCTACTTGCACTAAACGAGAACCTTCCTGATACAATCGTTGAAATTCTGAGAGCTCATATCATAGGATTGCACCATTTTCTTATGCTGTTTGTAATGCTTGGTTTCTCGGTAGTGTTCGACTCAGTGAAAGCTCCGGGTCTAGGATTAGGGGCACGATACATGTTCACCATGGGATTTGGCCGTCTTTTAAGAGCTATAACCTTCGTATCTACAATCTTACCTTCGGCTAGACCTTGGTGCGCTTCAGCCCGGTTCAACAACGTCCCTTCTTATCCCCATCGTTGGGCTCAGAAGTATTATGTTCCTTATGCTAAAGACCCGTCTGCTATACGCCAGCTCCTCCATTGGGATGCAGCTTACGGTAACATCTCCTCTCAGTTCACTTTACTACTTATGATGTGTACTTTTGGCATTTACACAAATACTTTATGAACAACCGAATGATTTAGTTTCTGAAATTGTGAATGTCTTTTTGTATTAGCAGCTGATCCAGGAAACTACATTGGTGACTACAGAGCTGACTGGGGTCCAATGAGCTTCCTCAGCGACTTCTTGAGACCGAGTTACTCTGACGGGTCTTCGTGGTTTGCTTTACTAAAGAAAGCGGGAGGCGGTTGTAATGACCTGTTGTACAGTGGCCACATGCTTGTAGCTGTCCTAACCGCTATGGCTTGGACAGTATATATTTATCCTTTCGTCCTTTAACTTAGAAATCCAATCACTTGTGAGCTAATTTGTAACCTTTTTGTGGTAAAATCATCAACAGGAGGCTTATGGAGGTTTTTCTTCAGCATTGATATGGTTGCTTGTGGCACACAGCGCACAGAGGGAAATAAGAGAGCGCCACCACTATTCAGTAGACTGTGTTGTGGCGATTTACGTTGGTATCCTTCTTTGGAAAATGACGGGTTTTATTTGGTCTAATAAGAGAAAGTCGAAGCAGACAGTGAGATTAGAGAAGATTCAGAACAGGCTTATTCACGCTGCGAAGGATTCGGATATGGAGACTGTTAGGAGAATTGTGGAGGAGATGAAGGTAAGCCTCCGGGAAGAGGAGCAGAGCGGAGTTGTCTCCAAGAAGGCAATGACAGTGTTTGCGTTTGCTACAGTGATCACGACACTTGGTATTGTGATTCTGGCTTTGACGTTGACAAGCGACGGCTAAAAATATGGATTGAGTGTTTGTATTTCGAGTGTTTTACACTGAATGTCACTTTTTTGTTGAATATGAGTTTGGTTGGTTCGAACCAAAAACACTAAATTTAGTTGTGTGTTATAAACTAAGAAGAGAATGAGAGAAATAATGGGGAATTCTCTGTGTATTATTACTGAATGAATATAGGTTCCTTTATATAAGGACTTAAAAGAAAGATAAATGGAAAACATCCAATTCCTAAAGTAACAAGTAGGCTTGGGCGTTCGGGTGCCCGTTGGCGTTCGGATCGGGTTTTACGGGTTTTCGGGTTTACGCTTCTAGGTCCCATTCTAAATTTTTATTATTACGGTTCGGATTCGGATAGTATCACTTCGGTTTCGGATATAATTTGTAATGCATCCTACAACCCATAAAGTAGTCATATATTGTTCGGTTTTGGGTTTTTTCGGTTCGGTTCGGATTATACTGAAGTAAAATACATATAAAAAAACATAACGTAGAAAACATAATATTAAACTGAATTAAAAACCATCTAAACACACATAATCCGAAGATAGCAATATTTCCGTAAAAACAACATCAAAAACACATCAATTCCGAAAAAACAACAACAAAGTTTTAAAATAACATCCAAAACACAACAAAGTTTTAAATAAGCATAACGTAGAAAACACAACAACAAACACGACCATTTGAGAAGCAATGTAGCACTTGAAAATCTTCTATTCCTGCAAAACAGAATGACAACAAATCAATAACCAGTATAACAAAGATTGACTAGTTTTAAACAGAAGTCAAGAACAAACATTACCTTCATAGACCCATGAATTCAATCAGCAAACTCTGTGCCAATACAAAAACAAGCAGGTCAATGTAAGCTAATAAACACATATAAGAATCAAAATAATGTGAACAAAATAGACTGAATACATACCTCTTTCAAGTTTCTCAAGTTCTTCAATATCCTCAAGAATTTGTGCATTAGTAAGCACTCTTGACTCACATCGAATGTCCTCTTTTAGCCACTGCTCAGTACACATCAAAACCTCAATCATGTAATGAGTAAGGCAGCTCCTAGATGGGTCAATTAACCTCCCACTTGTACTAAAGGCACTCTCAGATGCAACAGAAGAAACTTGCAAAGCCAAAACATCTTTTGCAATCAGTGACAGAACCGGAAACTTGGTGCAGTTTCTCTTCCAAAAAGATAGAACATCGTATTCCACACCAAGCATCAACTCTGGATTTTCAACAGCTTCTTTCAAGTAGATATACAGCTCATCACGTTTGTCTCTTACCCCTATCTCACTTAGCTTATCCTTGTACCTTCTATCAGTTCTCTTGTAACCTGAACAATCTTCAACCAAGTCCAAAGTAACAGCTGATTGTTCTCCCTGTCGACTGCATTGAGAGCCTTGGCTGCTGAAGTTTTTTGATTCATCAGATTTCCCTTTTTGACTTTTCCCATATCTCACACTATACTCTTTGAACAAGCTACGCAGAACACTTATGACAGAGTCATACATTTCCTTGCCTTCCAAGCTGTCCTCCCCATAAAGCTCATCAAAACACATGCTTGCAAGATCCATCTTCTTCGTTGGATCAAACACTGTCGCCACAATTAGCATTTTGTTGATATTTTTTAGCCCATCCCAGTACTTGTCAAACTTCTTGTACATCTCCACAGCCTTTGTCCTCATCTCATGATCTCTGCTATGGCTCAAATCCAGCAGGTTGGCAGCTATGGTTACAATCTCCCCATAATACTTGTAAGCATTGAGAGAGGTGGAAGCTGATACAATTACAGTGGAGTTGTAGAAGATGACTAAGAACCGACTTAGTCTCTCTATTGCCTTCAAATCAAGCAGCTGAGGAGGACCTACTCTCTTTTTCCCTTTCTCCATTTCCAAAAAGTAATCGTTGTACAGCTTGTCTTCTTGCTCCATCTTATCAAAAGCAACTTGAAACTTCTTGGCTGTGCTCAACATTAGGTATGTGGAGTTCCACCTAGTCGTGTAATCCAGTGGCAAGCTTCCTCTAGTAATTTTACCAGCTTCTACTTTCTGCTCAAACGATGTCAGCCTATTTCCTGAAGCTTTAACATAAACCACAGCATTACGGACAGCCTCAACACTCTCATTAGCATCAGCCATTCCATCCTTCACATACAGGTTGATGATATGTGCACTGCATCTCACATGCATGAATTCTCCATCTAATACTAATGCATCATCAGACTGTGAAGAAAAATGACTCTGAAACCTTCGTAAAGCAGAAGAGTTAGCTGTCGCATTGTCCACGGTTACGCAGAATACCTTGGATATTCCCCACTCAGCTAAGCAGTCGAGAAGAACCGTAGATATTGTCTGACCTTTGTGGTCAATGACATGTTTGAACCCAAGAATAAGCTTCCTCAGACGCCAACAATCATCAATGAAATGGGCTGTGACAACCATGTAACTTGCACCTATGATCAAGACAAACAGAAGAAAAAAAACATAAGGATCAAGACAAACAGAATAATAAAACGCATAATGATCAAGCCAAACATAAGAACATAACGCATAAGGATCAAGACAAACATAAGAATATAACGCATAAGGATCAAGCCAAATAGAAAAATAAAACACATGAATAAAAAACATAAACTCCTTACGTGTTACTTGAGCTGTCCAGATATCAGTAGTCACATACACTCTTTGCTTATTAGCTTTAAACCATTTCTTCATAGCAGCCTTCCTTTCCACATACAGCTCTACAATGTCTCGTGTTGATGTTCTTCTTGAAACAGGGTTGCCGAGATCCATCTACAGACAACATACAAAGTTAGATACCAATTTAAACTAAAGTATTAAACTATGTATGAGTTAGAAAACATAAGAGAAATTTGACCTTCTTGCAGAAGTGTTTCCAGGAAATACTTTCTATGAAACACAATGGTAACTGTCCTAGCACCATCATCTCATTTGTAGCTTCTCGGAAAGTGGTTGCACTGACCTTTGCAGACTTCAGTGATCCTACTTCATCGATATTGGTTTGAGTCGAACTTTGGCCCTCTGTAAATGACCTGAAGTGTTTGCAGATACTGATATGCTTCAGCAAGTTTGATGTGCCCGACTTTGTTCAGCAACAAAACGTCTTCTTGCAATAATGACAAAGACATCTGTCACGATTCTCCTTTGTTCTTGTGAAATGGTTCCAAATTTTCGACCTTGTAGGAAGAACCCGAGGAGGTTTCTTTGCTTTGTCTGTTTCTTCACTATCTGCAGATGGTTGTTTACGCTTGCCTCTGCTATCCGGAGTCATCAACTCTTCTACTTCATCAGCTTCTACATCTTTGTCATTCTCACGAGTACCACGGTTTGGAGTTGAGGATGAATCCATCTGAAAAAAAAAACATTCAACCAGAAGCATTCATGATCAAAAGACAAGAAGATGGAGAGTAAAGAAAAAGTAAACAAAACAAGTGAAATCGGTGAAATCAGATTGCATCTAATAAACTCAAACCCTAATTGAATCGCAGAACAAGTAAAGATATCAAATAACTTAAAAAGAACAAGTGAAATCGGATTTCATCTGATATTAAACTCAAACCCTAATCGAAAGTTTTATTTACCTGAGATTGATTTCGTGAAAACGAAGAAGATGGAGAGTGAGTGAGAAACATGAGAGGCTCTTTAGATTTAATAGCAGATACGATTAGGGATTTCGAAAACTAGAAGAAGATCAACAGACTCTAGCTTGATGTTTTTTCGTGACCGAAGTATCGAAACTCATCGAAGTATCGAAACTCAAAGTTTCGAAAAGGGAAAGTGTTTCACGCGTGTTCTGTAATATATACATATATGTGATATGTTTACATAGGTTCGGTTTACTTCGGGTTACTCATCGGTTCTCGGTTTTAACCGAACCGATCCCATAACCCAATGTATCGCCTATCTAAACCCGTTCGGGTTTTTTAATAGATCCAGAACCGATCCGATCTCTCCACTTCGGTTCGGGTTCGGGTTCGGGTTTCGGGATTTATGCCCAGGCCTAGTAACAAGGAATTGGAAATACATAAGAATGGAAATACATAATGGCCGCCTATAAGCTAATGGGTCTAAGGCCATTGGGCCACTTCTAAGTCTATCTAATGGTTATGGCCCATCCACATAATCGTCCATAACACTTCCCCTTGGATGGGCTAACCATATGGGCCTGTACCATGCTTAATGTTGCCTCGTTAAAACCTTCTCTAGGAAAACCAAAAACCCAAGGTGGGAAAAATGGAAACCTTAGACAAGGAAAAAGAGTACAACACATGATACTCCCCCTGATGAATGCATCACTGAAATGTCTGATGCATTCCAATCTGGTCGGTAGAAAACTGGTCTGCTGGGTTGCTGCTGAACCGAACTCGAACTTCTGATATCTTCTGGAAAAACTCATGTGTGAGTACTACTTTGGACTGAACGTCTTCTATGTCTTCTGGAACTCCATTAGGACTTGGTCCAGTCGTGCATCATCACAACTGAACACTTTATGTCCTGGTCGGACAGATCTCCTGGTCGGACGGATGTCCTGGTCGGATGGTACTTGACTAGTACTCGGATGGACCTTTGATCAACGATCAAGTATTACTCCTAAGTCCACTTATGTCCCACGATTCTTGTAGTCATATGGCCTCTGCCATACCGTGGACACCTTAATATATATTGAGTCATCTTGCAATAGAATCTCATGTCTTAAAACATGTAGATACATGGACGTGATGTAAACCTTTACTCTATACTTTGTCGGATAGGTTTCATCATACTTTAAACCTTAAAGCACAGTGCCATGATCCTTTAGTTATACATGTCCATAATGTGTCTCATAAGTGTCTAAGATCATGACTTCATCAATGATCATTACTGCAATGAGTTTCCCAATCTTATCAAACTGTGGTTCTACAACCAAGTACACTCATGGACCTTATTCATGGCTACCAATCTTTCTTGTCTTAATGTCACACACATTCAGACCACGTCCAATGCCTTTCAAACATGTCTATTCCAATTTTGTGGCGTCCTATGACCTTTCTTATCTTGGCTTAACCAAGTACTGGAATCTTCATTCGGTCATGGACCTTGTCCAACACACGCACACAACTTGCCAAGTATGCCTAAGATGTTGTTGCTGGCGTGCTGCTATCATGACTTATGTATCACTGTTG